GATGACACGGTTTTCATGTTTGAAGACACCACTCTTCACTGCTAAAATACATTGTTAGGTTTGTTAATAAAAGTACCGAAGATTGCCCGTTTCATAAATCGTGTAAAATGTACACATTTCAACATACACTTGTTTCGTAAAATGAGGATGGCACACACACTGTGTATGCGGCGACTTATTCATAAACATCCTCTTCCGAGAGCAAGCAAACGTTAGTTTCCAATTCGCAAACCCCCGACCGAACAAGGCAAGATTGACAACAGTCGTTTTGCGTCACAATGTGTCACCGTTCATTGTGGCATCGGTTACCATGGCATCATAGGCAAATAACATCTTTCTTTATCTGAAGCTGGTTAGCCGTGCCTTGACACTAAAGATACTGGTTATTTACAGACTAACAACGTTGGGGAAATGAGTTTGTTTGATAAATACATGTACATTCTTATCCTCGTATCTTAGGCATCCAACGTATTAAAACTCGTAATAATATAAGGTTAATCCCCTGCACTCCCAAGTTAAACTTTTGTTAACTCGTATTAACAAATAGGCGTAATTGATATGAAAATACACTCGAGTGAGATATGCTTTAATGTTACCAAAGTAAACTGCGTACAGCGGAACCTGCCAGTATGTGACGTCTATTATTCGATCGTGTCATTTGAAGTGGAAAGCATTCAGTTCTATTGGCTTAAACGCGAACACATTCTATGTGGTATGTACATATTCCGACATTTCTATAGAACTGTCAGTTGCAGGAATTGAGATTATTGACGGCTGGTTATTGTAGGTATGACAACAGACAAATCCGAGATGACTGACCTGAACAGTTTTTACAAGTGATTTGCGTATTTGATGTAGTAATGGACTTAGAGCTTTTAACGCCATCTACACGTCTGTGATATGATGATTGTCAGAGTAGTGATTTGAGGAGCAGGATCAAATGGGATTTGCAGTTACAATGGTGTTTTATATATGTCTCTTTGCGAATGTACCTGTGTATATTCGTTACGAGTACAAAGTATGTTGAATTACAGCAATCCTTATTTGTTAAACACAGCAATCCTTATTTGTTAAATGCAACAATCCTTTTTTTTTAAACAAAGCAAGCCTTATCTGTTAAACACAGCAATCCTTCTTTGTTGAACACAGCACAGCAATCCTTATTTGTTAAACACAGCAATCCTTATTTGTTAAACACAGCACAGCAATCCTTATTTGTTAAACACAGCAATCCTTATTTGTTAAACGCAGCAATCCTTATCTGTTAAACACAGCAATCCTGATTTGTTGAACACAGCACAACAATCTTTATTTGTTAAACACGGCACAACCATCCTTATTTGTTAAACACAGCAATCCTTATTTGTTAAACACAGCACAACCATCCTTATTTGTTAAACACAGCCATCCTTATTTGTTAAACACAGCAATCCTTATTTGTTAAACACAGCAATCCTTATTTGTTAAACACAACAATCCTTATTTGCGTACTCATTGTTGCTTCAGTGTACACATTGTTACCCTACATTCGTCACGAGTTTCAAACTTAAAGGTTAGTTAAAGAGCTACATACACGATACCATACAACCTTGACTCAAACAGACTCAGAACAGTATTTTCAGTTCGACCATTTTATGATAAGTAAAGAAAGACTAATACAAATTAACTGCAAACTGTACAAATAGTACTACAATCGATATCAAAGGTCTTTTAGATTGAAATGTAATTAAATTAGCTTCGTATTCTTGAAAATTAAGTACTCATTATTAATCGCTTCCATAGCCAGGCTATTTTAGGCCTAACACTCATTTACCCTATACATTAACACTAACCAAAGATCACTTTGTTGGATAGGTCACATACTGCCTACAGTTCCAAACTGCCTACATCCCAAACTGCCACAAACAATATTGTAGGCAGGGTGGGAAATGATTTTTGTCCCTGTAGAATAATGGAACAGCCCAATTATCAACGAAGAAGGGGTGTGTCGTTTGGAGTTAGGTAGTAGTAGTTATTTGCTTTATTTAATGTCGCACGCACAATTAAGGTATTTCGGCGACGGGGTAGTACACTTGTTAAGAAATGAGGGGAACCAAAAATTTTAACCAATCCATGCTTAAAAACATATTTATTAAGTGAATAATGATAAATATATAAAGGTTAAAATATGAACTTGATAAAAAGAGAGAACTGATTTAAAAAGTTAAAAGAACATATATACATATTTATAACAATATTTAAAATGGTAAAAAGTGGTATTATTGTTTTTGTTGCCAGATTGTTTGGTATAATTTTGTATGAATGAGATATTTAGTGAGTGATTTAATTAATTTGGGATTTGTTAGAATGTGCTTCAAATAAGAAGAGTACTACTGGTACTATCCTATAATCTCCCGGCAAACTCCAGTATCTTCACAGCAGAACTCGCAGCCATAGTTCAAACAATACCAAACAAACACTACCATCTGCATTTTTACAGATTCTTTAACCTCCATACAGGCTCTCAAAAATTACTCTACAACAAGAAGACCATAAGATCTAATAAATAACATATACACAGAACAATACTACACCACCAAAACAAAAATAATCAAATACATCTTATCTGGGTCCCATGGCAACGAAATGGACAACCTTGTCAGTTGTGTGTAATTGTGAAACCAGTAAAAGACTGTAAACCCAGTAAAAGACTGTAAAACTTATCAATTTTTCATGATATATCCATGTCTCCATGTAAAGACGGAGAATTCTCAGAATGAATAAACCAACCAACACTTGTCATTTTTTAAACTTCTGTTGGCAGAGTGGAAAGACAGGAAAGAACAGGTCAGTTCATTAACCAAGTAACTGGTTAAGTTCATTTTAGCAGGGATAGAACAGGTCAGATCGGTGTATTCCCATTAACTTCACTTCCTGATCACTGGACCCTATCATGTTGTTTTAACCTGTAGGCAGTATGGGAATACACCATTTTGTTGAACGTCGCGCGTAGATAATTAATTAAAAAGTACATTTTGAATTATTGTCATGAAGAAGTGGAAGTTCATGCTTTAACAATAAACAGTATACCTGATCCCGGTTTATGGTGCTAAAGAGGTAACACAAACGAAACCATAATAGTAAATTATAAATACATATCTCCGAAAAGCAGAGTCCACGAATACAATCCTGACTTATCAAAATCATGTCGTCAAGAGTCAGAACCAAATGGCGATGACAATCGCGAATGTACCCGGACCGACTCGAACAACCGTCACAGACACATGCAAAGGCAAGACAAGTAATTGTTAACATTAAGTGTAACATATTATACATGTAAACATGAGGAACTCCACTAATGCGTAAAATGCATCACTTCACTGGGGCCTAGAATGCTGTAACATTGATGGTGAATCCTCGATTGTACTCCAAAAAGGTGTGACATTATATACTAAAGGCTGGATCTGGTGGACTATTGCTCGAAGGGAATATTGCGGTAATTGCTTCCAGCTGTACCAGTTCATGGACCATGCCTAGAAAGATCTAAACCTGTATGTTTGCATTCCTGGGTATGAGGACGATGCCTGTGTGAATTGCCACATAAATGCATCAAGTACTATTGTTTTGTGATAGAGTGTAGTGAAAGGGAGTTAGCTACACACACATACACACTGTGCTAATCATATAATGTGTATTGTTCCGGTAAATCGACTGATGATTAAGGGAAATGGGCATTTCATCCAAATCAGGGAGAGCTGGCATATAATAGAAGGCAACGGACATTCATTTGTGGTAAATGGACACGTACTGAGTGTTCGAGCGATACGTTTTCATGACAACATACATTATGAATTGTTTTCATTAACACGTGTAAGAGAAACCAAGTATTGTATTGGTGTGCATTTGATTATTTGAATGAAAGATTCGGTGATTCGGTGATCAGGTCTATAACAGCATAACGGCTTGTAGAACTACGTAGTGTGTAAATATTGTTTTACGCTCTGATCAGCTTTAAATAGATGAGCCTGGGCAAGGCAGACCAGTGGTAGATTGCCTTAGTAATCATGGTAATGGTCAAAGGCATCTGGGTATGATGACCCAGAATAAGCAAGCCTTCAGGGCAAATTGTTTTTGTCGTCGGCTCTTACAAACAACGGGTGCTTGGAACATATTTTGTCACGGTAACCACGCAGTGACTTAAAGATAAAATTGTTTGCCGCTATGAAGACTTGTTTCCCAACAGTATTGCGTTGAGGCAGGTCACCGTTTTCATTTTCTTTGTTGTTGTTGTTTGTTGATGTTTTGGGTAGGGGTGGTTGGGGAATGGGGGTTGTTTTTGCTGTTGGTTTTAGGTTTGTTTTATTGCTGCAGTGTCGTAGTCTCCTTCCTTAACCATACACATGCTAAACGTATAGTTCATTGTTCGAATCAGATTATGTCATGAGCATAATAATAATAATAATAATAATAATAATAATAATAATAATAATAATAATGTGTCCATTGATATAGCGCCAAACTCCACACTAGGTATGCTCATAGCGCTAACAATCAAGGCACGGCACATTATTACCCCGGATAACCCAAGCTGCCTGTTAGGCGCTAGAAGGTTATAGTCATATGACTTTTTTCCACCGGGAACCCATTTTCCTGCTGGGTGAACAGAGACAATTTTGAACAAACTCACTTGCCTAAGGTGAGACCACATGTGTTGTTCGGTTGTTCGCGAAGTCAACTTCACACATAATGTCGCAGAACTACAATGCCAAAACATTAACTGTGTTGGGATTGACACCCTATATGAAACACTGGAGGAAGACATGTCCTTAATGGCCCCAAGCTGAAACTTTAACTTGCGGTAATGTATCCCAGCTGGATTTGATGTAGCTGGTTTAGTAAGAACATTATTTTGTACTTAAGGTGTAGAACATCTCATATTGCTGTACAGTCTGAACAGATCTAGAGATATCAATAGTCTTGCTAAGCAGCTGATTGGTCGCTGGAGAATATATTTAGCTCACCTGGACATGATGCGAAGGGTGTTGGGTTGTCAGAGTTGGCTGCGATTGGCCAGCAGTGGTAGTCGGTGTTAGTCAGGTCATGCCAACAGCGCACATGACTCGACAGTATCTGGAATAAGAAATACCATGACATTTTAATATCATTTGGTGTAAGCAATTTGTGTGATTGTGTCAATTTCAATACGTGGCACACCCTTATTGTAGGTTTCAAACAAACTCCATTACAAATAGTTCAGGCAGAGATGCACTTTCGATCTGGGATTCATGCTCGGAGGATCATGACTCTGAGCTTACAACTGATACTAATGCACTTAATTCAATAGCTCTCAACGGTAGGAATATGTTCCTGTCATCCTTGTAGTTTTATGGTTTGTTGTGGTAGAACGTTAAAGTACGAAACTGTTAAATTGTTCTGAATTGCAAAAACATTGAAGTCACGCCTTGACCATTTGGTAACGTACGGTCAACCCAACTGTTAAGTCGTAGTTTATCTTTGAACATAGTCAGTGAGGAAGGATAAACATTCAGTAAACCAACGTTATTTATTAAAGTGAGTTATATACAAAAACGGCAACGAGTAATATACTAAGTGAGCAACGCGTAACACATTGTAGAAAGATTTAACTCTGTCAATAGCATCGAGTGTATTTGTCCAATGATGTGTATCTTTTCATCTTTTCCCAATCTATTTATGTCGTCTTAAAATGCGCATTGTCGGAAAGATTTCACCATAACGTAAACCATTTAACAACTGGAATGGATATGCAAGTCTGAGATAACTAGCAAAGAAAGTAGTTGCGTCCGAAATTGATCAAATATGTTTTGGTCTATTTGATTACCAAAGAACAAGTTATGTTTTTTTTAGAACCTAGTATAGTAATCAGGTGTGGTAATATGAATGAGGATGTTGGCAACCTTTAATGTTGCTGTCTCATAACAACACAAACGTCGTGAGAGAAATTAAAAAGAAGTTTAATCCATAAAAATATCTTAGACATCATTGTACAACTTCTAAATGCCACTGAAAGACATAACACTGAATTTGTTCAGCATGCATAAATATGGTTTCCAGGAAGCCAGGAAGTGATATTAAGACTGTCATTGAATAAGATTTTCTTTGGAGATGTAGATATGGGCCGTTTAATCATTATGGTACAAAAAAATTGAACTGGGAGTTGGAACTGGGCACGATAAGAAGTTATTTCTCAGTCAGCCTTTTCGGTTCATTTTAACCATTTCATACGTAAATATAATGCAAGTGGAAGAAAGAATGGTTATCAGCTATTTGAAAGTCTGGTAATACTAATGCTAATGTTTCATTTTGTCCGTAGCCATACAATTGGACATTTCGACGTAGTCATAAAGGCCTATTTTTGCTATTTCCCAGTTTCAGTCACAGGTTTAGAAGCATTATTGGACTCGGTTCATTTCTAAAACCTCTATCTTTGGCCTCTTTCAGCTGTGGACAACATTGGTCTACGAATGCTCCATATATCCATTTCATGTAGTAGCACTGTTTAATAGACATTGGTAAGCATAGTCTTCTTCTTTCATTCTTTAATAAACTATTTTGTTAGCATTGATGTGTTTACATATTATATAGCCATTGAAGGAAGAACTTTTAAGGTATAACATAAATGTCAAAGTTGGCACAAGGCATTGGGCATTCAGAAACTTTGGAAAGGTCTAAATACAGTTCCAATTAAGGATAATGTTTTGTATTCAATCAATGACTGCTCTGTTCCACAATTGATAATGCGATTTCCTTCATGAAATTGGATCCATCTGTTGATGAAACAAATATGAAACGATATGTATGCTTGCAAAATGAGTGTATAATATGTTCAAGATGGAAGAACGGAACATATATCAATTATGACTGCATATGTGTACATTATATTACATGTGCACATTTGTTTTATAGTTCTATGGACAGAACGAAGAATAAACGATTGCCATTGCAAGTATCAAAATTGAAGCATTTTGACCTTTATGTTTTATGTTCGTGTTATTTGCTTACTATGTGAATAACCATATGTTGTAAATCAACCCTGTTTCTAGAACACTTTATAAGTTCCCCTATTTCTGTTTCTACTCATTCGAACTACAGCCTTATAGATGGCGACGTACATTATTGACTCTTAAAACGACACCTTTTCAGAAGTCCATGAATGATGAATTAGCTTGGTCTTTGAGTTTCTCTAATATAGTTGCAAATATTTACGTCTGCAGTGTTTGTCCCTAACTATAAGAGAATCCACCGTAATAAACGCACACCGTGCATTTATGTTAAGCTTCCAAATGGCCAATAATGCCAGTACGATTCAAAGAACATATGTGTCTGTCCAATCACTTGTTCCATTAAATATAGCATTGTATGCTCTTCAGATGACATTAGTGGGCTTCCGTGAGTAAGTGCTTGGTCTGTATCTTATTTCAAACAATAGGCGCTGTATTATGTAGTGTGGACGGAGCGTGGTTGGCTTATAATCTTACACATGGTCGGCTTATGTGAGTCGACAGTGTTTTCATTACAGATCGTCCTTCACTGTTCCGCGAGGCAATTAACTTGAACACATTATTTTCGCTTGTCGTTACAAATATGATCAGGAGTAACCGGACGAATGTACACTTAGTAATAGTTGTAAATGTCGTAAATAAGTACTGCATGTATGCGTCGATGTTGTGTTCATTATGTGATGAAGAGGTGTGTGAGATTTATTCATTTTAGCAGTTTTCCAAAGATCACTGGGACAGTAAACTATGATTAGATTTTATATAGATGACCCATGTAGGAGTTCGATCAAGTGACTTCCTTCCAAATCCTGAAAGGATGCGAAGGTTGCAAACTGTATAAGTTTGATTATGTCGAATCCCCACATGTGTACAATGTGTGAAGCCCATTTCTGGTGTCCCCCGCCGTGATGTTGCTGGAATATTGCTAAAAGCGGCGTAAAACCAAACTCAGTCAGTCAGTGATTATGTAAAAATAAGATACATCACCAATGAGTCCAATCAATGTTACTCGAATCGAAACTGTTATCTGGAATAAGATCAGGTGCAATCACTTGATAAAATTAGATATCTAACAACAATGGTCTTAAAAAGTATCCATAATCATAACATCCTTTCCCTGGTTCTCTCGGGTTAATTCTGCAGGCTTTATTTTTATCCTGTCGATATTTCTCTTCCAAAGACATGTTTGGTGTAGCTTTGTTGTATACAAATTTAAGACAAGGCATCTGCTAATGAGGAAATTGTGCCCATATCAATTAACCTCAGTATACGCAGACATATCGTTATAATCTCCTTTCAGTGAAAGGCACAGCTAAACTTGTAATCACCACAGGTTCATTAGCAACTTTAATTGCAAATCGCGACCATGTCGACGTCTCGTGCTAAATGACAGTCTGGCACATTTACTGACTGCAATATTTCTAAAGGACTTTTCTCATCTAATGATGTTCATGTGAACATATTTGCTCTGGCCCAAGTTCGACAGATACTGCGATGGAGCAATTGAGCATACACAAGTTCAAGTATCTCTTTTTAAATAAACCATCGCTATCGCTAAAACATTTCATTGATTGTCTTTCTCGCTTACATAAAAGTGTCTTTTCTGTCATGCACATCATTATATATTTCTCTTCGATAATCACTGACGTGTCCGTGGTCTGATAGATAAAGTGGGAGGTGGGCGGTTCAATCCACGACAAGGACATGTCATAAGACGTTAACGATTCGGCATGTCGTGGGTAAAACAAGGAGCAGTCCGCTCAGGGCTGAAATACTGTGTCTGAAGGGGTGTCCATGTTAACTCCGGTATGGCGCTATAAAACCTGTAGTGGTCTTAGAATTTAACAAGTCGACATGAACGCCCCCCCACACACGTACGCAAGCACGACGCCTTACCTCGATATCAACTAAGCGAGCCCACCGTAGTACATAATAATTACATTATATATTTTACATATTATAGACTGTGCTATAAGTGCGATAAATTACAGATTTAACTTACAAATGCATTACAGATACAAGATATGAATATAGTTAATTTTCGTATGATCGAAAATCGCTTGTCTGAAAGCGTTCCTAATAACAATTGCAGCTTGTTACAATTTGGATTTACATAGTAAAATTTATTAAAATAACTCTCTCTTAGTTTTATGAAATGCGGGCATACAAGTAAGTAATGGTATTCGTCCCCGACTAGTTGTAAATTACACAACCTGCAGGTACGACATTTATAATTTATTTTAGACCATCGACCAGTCGCCACAGGTAGGGAATGATTACTGGTACTTGTAAGGATTTTTAAAAGCGGGATTTGTAATTTACAAGGTAGATCCATATACCGTTATTCGCCCCCCAAAAAAGTTTCAGGACATTGAACCTTTATGGGAATTTGTCTGATCGGCATACCATCTCTGAATAAACTGACCAGACAAAGGCTGAAATACTGTAGAGATAAGCCATTGTAGGTCGTACATATGATAATAATTAAACACGAATGACAAACCACATTTGTCTAATATACATTTTAACATTAGCAAGCCATGGTGAAGCATGCATATTATTTTCTAGCATTTGTGATAACACATTGTGAATTATAACATTATATTTTGATATACATAAGTAGCAAGTTTAAACCAATGTGAAATTATTCGCTTTTTAATATATACAGAAATAGGAAGTCGTCCCACCTCCACGAGTGTGGGATCACAATAAATAAGATTAGAGATTGGAAAAAGAATGTTGATATGGCGATTTGAAACATAAGGGCGACGTATCTCCACGTGTAGATGGGCCGTGGGGTAACCTAGTGGTTAAACCGTTTGCTCGTCACGCCGAAGACCCGGGATCGATTCCCCATACGGGTACAATGTGTGAAGCCCATTTCTGGTGTCCCCCGTCGTGATATTGCTGGAATATTGCTAAAAGCGGCGTAAAACCCATCTCACTCACTCACTCCACGTGTAGATCTGATTCCACTACAATTACAATTACATGTACAGTGACACAAGAAACTTTTTAACATGTGTTATATTTGGGATTACTCTTTCTCAGTAAAGTACAGATTCTAGTAGTTTTGTTGGTTCAGTCCGATCCGGGATTCGAACCCACACCCTCAGAATCAAGCACATAATCACCAGCACACACAAGGTTTTGCAACAACAAAAAAGAAAGAAAGAATGCAAGGACAGTTAAAATTTATAAAAACCCTGAAATACTCAAAGTTGCCATTACCACGAGATGACGAATGCTGCTAAATAGCAATACTACTCAGCTGTCGACGACCACATTAATCTTGCACTTCCTTTATAATGGCTAATAGCTACATAATGGTACAGTTTCTGAAGTTGGGACTGTTGACATGAATCAAACATTGTTTTCCAAAGAGCTTAATGGTTGCAACAGTGTTTAATAGTTTCCAGTGTTCACAGCAAACATACTTACATATAGTACTCAGTATTAAGGCATCCTACTACAGCCTCAGGGCATATTGCTCACTAGGGGAGTTAGTAAAGACGCATTGGGGATCAAAACAGATTAGGCCTTAAATGGCCCCGCAAACTACGGTAATTATCGATCACTTTCATCTTCTTCGAGAGGACAAAAGCACCAACAAAGTATGCATTACTGGTATGCATGCGGAGTGAACGATGCGTGACCTCCTTGACCATGTGGCCAGAGCGCTGTAGTGAGGAAAAAGGGGATAACGTCGCGTTCATGTTGTTGGTCTTTTGTCACTAATATAAAGATGTGCATGCATGTGCATGTGGCTGTTTGTACTCTAAACGGATAGTGTATATTGACAATCATTACTCCGTCACAGATATGACGTCAGCTGGGTCATGTCAAACCTACATTGTATTTGTATCGCAAATCTTCCCCGGGGTATTCCGGTTGAGCATTGGTCCTCCGGTTGAGTATTTGACCTCGATAACCTACGCTAAGGGACCGGGTTGTCAGACTCACTGACTTGGTTGGTACATGTCACGCTAGTTGAGTAGATCTTTGCTCATTGTGTTAGTCACTTGACTGTCCGTCGAGACTAGATTATTTACAGATCACCTTAATGCAGTTTGAGTATTCTGAGTGCTGCTTTAAGCAACAAAAAAAGCAATCAATGTCCGTTCCAATGAAGATTGGCCAAGGGACATTAACATGTTTTGCTGGTCTGTCATGATAATATAAGAAAGCACAGTTAAAGAACAAGTTCTTTATGAAGGTATTAAACATACTATCGCGCTACTAAAACATTCCAATAGGTGTCCTTAATGAGCAAACATCGTGAAACATGCACCAAATTTGGAGATTGGGATTCTGAAAGGGTATGGTTTCTAGCCAGTCCCCATCGTGACATATTTCTATAAAATTATTTACATTAATTCATAACGTCCGTAGTATTTTCATAATATCATTGAGTGGAATGCTGTGGCATCGTAACTGACATGTATACTCATGCCAATAATGATTATTGGCATGAGTATACATGTCAGTTACGATGCCACAGCATTCCACTCAATGATATTATGAAATTACTACGGACGTTATGAATTAATGTAAATAATTTTATAGAAATATGTCACGAAGATACGATTATTTAAATATGTTTTCATTATGAACTACTGTATTGTATTTGCTAGCTCGGCGTTACACTTCTGACCCCACACCCTATCAAGAGTTACGTCAGGGACGTGCACGTATGTTTCTACACTTCTCATTTACCTACATGTCGCTTCACTGCACGAAGTTTAATTTTTGTTGGTTCATTATACAACATTTTAGATTTATCAAAAGAGAACAGTAATCAATCAAAACATATTTAAATCAAGTTTTACTAAAGTTGCATCAAATGTTCTACCGATCAGTAATGTTGGGGTACAAATATGTCATCGCATAGAGTGTATCCTCCAAGAACATGTAGTTTCACCCTGGAAAAGGAACTACTCACCAGATACGTCAGTAATGTGTATATCCGTGGCGCTGCCATACGTTGGTCTGAGTTCTGGAAAGGTAGGTGGTTCACATCGTAATTGGACAACAGGTTAAGACGATTGAGTTAATCTGTTAATATCCACACATCATGCATCAACCATGACGTTTACTCCCTCCGCTGGCGGTGGTCAACACTAGGTTTCCTGAACACTCTAATCCTTCGGGGAAACACCACTCCGCTCTAAACGATTGGCCTGCGACCGTTTGCACCCAGCTCCAGCACTGGTATGTCGTGTTCCAGGTAGATAAGTCCCACCTGAGCGGGGAAGGCTGATCGAGGGCATTGATCGCTGGACAGAGAATAATTAAGGTGTCTGTTCTAGTGTGGTACTGGATTGGCAGGGAATCTGTTTGAGAGACAGTCTTTCCGTTGAATTAGATCGAACCTCAGTAATGCCATGTAATATGTACATGTGTATATGTGTAGATATATGCAGTCAGTCGGGACGGCGTTACACTACATCGCCATAACGTACAATTTGAAACACAGGGTACATAATGGCTTCAGTGAGTTAGGACTAAACAAATTTTAGAAATTGTTCAAGTGAATGAGTTGGACTTTACGCAGCATTCCACAGTATTTCAGCAATGTCACTGCGGGAGACAATGGAGGAAAATGGGCATTGTACCCATGTGGGGATCGAAACCGGTCCTTCGGAGTGATTAGCGAACCAGTAGGTGACACTACCGTCCATTGCTACATTTAACCATAACACAGAGCGGACTAATGGGTCCGTTTTCGGCAATTGTGTTGCTAAAATATATCAGTTGAGATATCAATTACCTGTGCGTACTAATTCCACATCGATACAAATACGAGAATGAACCACTAAACTATGAAACTTTAGAATTTATTAAATGTCTGCTTTTTCTTCCCATGACTGAATAATAATTAGAACATGTCCGAACTAAACACTTTTCACTTTTAAAAGGTTATTTTACACGTTACAGATGTTCGTCTTTGAGGCGATCGCTACGACATCCCAAAGTCAATATCTTTCTTGCACATCTGTTTATGACATTTATTGCATATATCATCCCAGTACATATTTACGATACTATATACTGTCCGACTACGGACCACAAAATCGAGTGTCCACTTTACTGGAGCTCCAACTTAAACGTCATGTCATTGCATGTATGGGTGGACTTGCAGTCTAATATCAAGAACACTCGTCCTGAGACGGTCAATTAATTCCAAATATGCTTCCACTACTTACTAATCGTTTCAAATTAAATAAATATATTCAAATTTTAAACAGTGTCCATACGTTAACAGTATTGAAGAGGGATTGCTTCACATGATAATGAGGAGATGCTGCCATCTTGTCTCCGAAGCAAAGGACATAGCGCGGAAGTTAAAGGGCTTCGACACAGTCGCCCGTGATTGCGGAATCTCTAGTTGTTATGGTACTGTTATATGGCAATAGAAAGGTTTCCCAATTTATGTGTACTATGGAAACATTCTGACGAAAAATTATGCAATATTCTAACAGCGTTGGTGCAAGGTTAACATCCTTTGATTACTTTCAGATGGTCCAGAATAGTCTTCTTGCTTTGTTCACTCAACTCAGTTCAGCGATATGGTTTCTGTATAAATCATGCATTAGACATAGGGCAGTCGTAACAGTAACATTTAACGCGTCATGACATGTACTAGGGAGGAGGCCGTGGAATATAGATGTAATAATCTGCCATCAAAAGAACAATCAGCTCTACAATATGACCACGAAATATACGACAGTTCCAGAACCTAAACCAAACACCTCAACGCAAGCAGTTCGGTACCCGTCGGCCATGCGAATCCCCAATGCACGTTGGTAAGAGGTAATTCTTGCTAAATCCAAAACCATACTTTAAGAAATCGTGTCCAAACAGCCAATCACTGTCCAAACAGCCAATCAAGTTACTGTTCACGTTTCTGGCCAGGTGATCATCTCCATGCTCCTCGAGCACGTGTTTTACCACCGGTTAACAAATCGAAACATTCAAGCCACACGCCAATAGTGTTTTTACCGTGGAAACTAAGTGGAAGATCGGCGGTCGTGTGCGCCTACATCCAAGGCCACACTCTATGTTGGCCGAAATAGGCTTCTTTAGCCAGAGGAACCCCTTAAAGTGCCATTAGGAGATTGACGCGGAGAATGGTGCTGTGTGTAAACGAATGTTTGACCAATTGCGGAGAGAAGAACCACGACTGATCAGGCTTTCTCAAACGTTCATTTGTTGACAAAACACCCTTGTCTTTCTTGGTCGTTTGCACCGACAACGTTTCATTGTTTGACATGTTTTAACAGTTCTCATTTTTTGCATCCACCCATTACCATCACTCGATACCTCTTTGTGTTTCCGTAATCATCACTTTTTGGAGAGCACTGCGTACAGTTATTACAGCAACAAATGCGTCAATGTTACAGTCAGATGCGTTAGAGGTTCAACTAAATACCTCATTACATAAAGGATACGTCAGCGATACGGTTAAATGAAACATTAGAATGTCACGAAAATGATAATGCTCCAGATCCCATACCACAGATCGAGTAATTACGGTTGTGTGGGATTCTTGAGTATCGATCAATCAGTGATACAGATCTCCCCAGAGATTTCACTTGCTACAACACAAATGGTGAAATATAACACACGGTGATTACTTGCATGTGTGTTTACATTGCAACCCATATAACGTAACCTAATATTTGTAGTACACATGTATTCTATACCTCTGGCACTGTGTCCACAGGGTGGTATCTCGTGCAAGTCCTTAATGACATAGAAACCGTTATGTAATATACAGAATAGGAACAATTTACATTATATTACTAAGAATAGCTTAACCGGTTCTACGGTATAGTTAGATGAGATTTTTGCCGCAGTTCTTTTTGAACGGCACAGTGATGGTTTTCTAAGAACGTAGGGTGACACATTACTGTTACTGCAGAACACAGAAGTTCAAAGTTCCTAAGAACGGTTTTCTGTGACATTATGTTTGTAGAAAGAAACACTTCTCTCAAAAATATGACAAGACGTTGAAAATCTTAACGAAACAATTCTTTGTGAATGTACGATCTCATGTTTCACTCAATGAGTAGGACTCAACAGTGCTCTGTGAATGCTCGACAGTGTAACAGTTCAACCCATCGGTCTTCTGGCACTTCATCCCCGAGTGTTGTCTTCCGTCGCCAATCCTGAACTTCCATCTGTGAATAAAACGTACGCTCTTGGACAAAAGACCGCCTCCGTGGTGTAGTGGTTAGAGCGTCCGCCCGGAGAGCGGAAGGTCGCGGGTTCGATCCCCGACCGCGTCATACCAAAAGACGTTAAAATATGGTACTTGTTGGTCCCTGTCTGGCGCTCGGCATTAATGGGTACAACAGGGACTGGTCGGCTCAGAGTCAGTATAATGTGTCTGAGTGGGGTATTCATGTTTCACTGCGGCATGGTATCTCAGTGGACTAGCACTATAAAACCAGCTTAAGTCTGGGCTAGTACAAGCAGCCGCACATACACATACACACGCATGCACGTCGTCATATGAGCGAAATATTCTCAAGCACGACGTTAAATCCAATTTCACCTCACCTCAGCTCTTGGACAAAAGGATGGTTCTATCACCTTATAGAAAAACGAAACATTTTTTAGTATATTTTTAGTGAGACGAAACTTGAACTGTTTATATTCTATCGTTGTTGTGATGACATCCTCGTTTGGCTTACTTGGACTGTGCGACACTAGGTAGAATAGTCGTCAATCGGTTTGTTTGTAGGAATAGCACACGAACGACACTAACAAAGAGCACAAAACCTTACAAATGATGGACTGTACAGACTGGTTCCGTATGCAATTATATTTTCCCTGGGGACTGGAACATGAGGGTTGAATGGAAACAAATAAATCTGTTAATGCAAACGCGGAATACTCTGGCCTTGTGCACGTTTTCCGTTGACAAACACGTCGCTTCCAATTCCTCAAGGGATCGTGAATGTTTGTTTGGCAATTTTCTCCAAGCTATTCTAACCTTGCCATGTGTATGGTGTTCTATTTATAAACTCTACACACAATATCCAATCGAGAGTTGTTTTGGTTGTGTTATGAGGACGTTAAGCTGTAAACATCGTTTAAACCCAATACAGAAAGATAATTCATGTATAATAACTCCTTTATTAATTTTAACCTATCTGCATGCTACTTCCGCACCTTCACCGTGTTATGATTATGGCAATGACACCAGGCGCATTTATCCTGATATATGGTGGGAAGAATATTGTCTCTTTCAGTGAGTGAAGGTAAAATTATAGAAAACAAGGGTCGGTGGGGTAGCTAGTGCTTAAAATGTTCGCTCGTCACACCGAAGACCCGGGTTCGATTCCCTACATGGGTACATTGTGTGAAACCCATTTCTGGTGTCCCCCGCCGTTGTATTGCTTTAATATTGATAAAACCTTTGTAAAATCTCACTCGCTCACTCACTCTAGAAAACAACCATACCCTAAATGTCATATTTTCACACCACCCTCAGATATATTCCTGTCAAATGAATGAGTCTGTCAAGGGAGTCTGGACGTAACAATCAAGTGATTGATATCATGAGCATCGATCTACGTAATTGTGATACGAAGACATGTATCAAACGAGTCAGCTATTCTGATAACGTGAGTCTCCTTTACAACAAGCGTTGGTTTCCGAACATCAGTTGCAAACCCGATCTTCACGTGTGTAAACAATTCAGTGATGAACAGATCGATACCGTCAATGAGCTGATGATGAATAATGATTAACCTCATTCAAGTAGTTTGGATAATCAGTCCGTTTGCCACTACACTAAGTTGTAACTTGCGTAAGTAAACGAGATTTCTCGTCGCCACTGATGCTAAAATACAAACGAATATATGTTATAAGCGTTTAATTAGACTCAAAGAGAAATCCTCGATGCACGTGTACAGGGACGACATGTCAAAGAAGATGTCCACCCCTTCGATATTGTCCACTTGTGTGTATGCTTGCTGGGGTGTACTTCTGTGGTGATTCAAGAAGTATGTGAATTTTTAGGAACACCAGGTGTCATCACGTAATTTGGTGTACCAGTTCCACAGCAACTTTGTGGATAATCGTTTAGTGTTGACGTTTTCTATATTACATGGCTGAGATATTGCCGAGAAGGTTTAAGCATTCGCTTAGTCTTGGTGAAAGCGTTGGCTTGTCATGCC